GTAAAAATGACTACTTTATCATCTATGGATGGAGGAATCACCAATGTATATGGTAGTATTTTCGCACTTGTCAGAGTTGGTTTATACACTACTGTTTGGTACAAGTTTCTACCTTTTCATATAGATATTCCACCAGATCAACTGCTTTATATGTCGTGGGATTACTTTCTCAATGAGAGTGCAATTGTGCCTGGGTATACTAAGATAACACTGCAGGAAACTAAAGATATATCAGACATAGTGATGTCAATCCGGGGAGATACTCCTTTTCCCTTTGATGAGAATACTTTCAACGATATGGCTATGTTGCAAGATGTCCTACCACCAGAAGAACCAGCAATACAAATACCGATGGAGAATATAGACAGAAAATGGAGAGTAGGTGTTAGTTTAGGTATCGTGATAGCATTCAGTGTAGTTATTGGTCTATATCCAAACTAACCAACGAGAACACTGGATGAACGAACTCTGTTCTTCTAGCCCTTCAGTGAAATACTACTTAGACTAACAACTTTCAAATATTTCATTTTCAAGTGAGCTAGAAGGGTATGTCAGAGCAGGTTGACAGGCTAGAAAGTAAGCCAGGCTAGTTAGATCTTCTCTTATAAAGCTTAGGAAACTGGATAGCAATAAAGCCATTTCCAAGAAAGTCTTCCCCTATAATCGAGAAAGCCGTCCAATAGCAAACCTAACCCCTGCCTAGACAAATAGAGTAGAGGCAAAACCTATTATTTTTAGAAAGGATAACTGATCAAAGAGACGTAGCTTTTTTCTCTCTTTCCTTCTTTCCACCAAGCTTCTTTATTGGAGTTGACTTATAGTGGTTGGTTCTTGCCTTGTAGGGAGTTGGGAGGCCTACTGTCCGAATTCGAACTGGGTGCAACGGAACTCGCTAAGGCTCCATTCAAAGAAAAAAAGAATGGAATAGGACGAGGCGTGGCAGATCATCTAGAATCTGGTCGGACTAATGCGCACCGGCAATCCATAGTAGAAGTTCTTTACAGGTTTGGTTTTCCTATTTCTCACTTGGCGACCAAGCTCAAGAAGAAGCAATCAAAGGATGTCTATCTTCGTTCTCCTTACCATAAAGTCTATTTATTATTGGATCCGCCCGAAGTCGATTGGAAAAGATGAAGACAAGGAAGAGCCATTCTTCATACATAGGAGCGAGTGGTCGAAATGGAAAGCGGACAAACGAAACGGAATTCTGTACAACTATAGGGTTCGGTTCTTTCTTCTGTCCCAGGTCCTTTCTTCTCTTGCAGATCTTTCTTTGAGAGATAGACGCTGTTCTCTGCCATACTGTGGCTGTGCACTTTAGCACTTCTTCTTTCACTTGGTTTTTCTTCCTTCCCTTCGGTACTCCTTAACTCGGAGATACTCCTTCGGTACTACTTGGCTACTACTTGAACAGAAGGGATTACAGACCGGGCTTTCGAGTAGCGGGATTTGAGACCTGAAGTCAGATATTGCACTAGAAATGGAATAGAGGAGGAAGAGGTGACTGCTAGGTAGGCAGTAGTAGCGCATGCTGGAAAGCTAGTCAAGGTTGTTCGACAAAGCACATTAGCAAAGGTAGTTATTTCAGTAACTTTATCTGGTTTCAATCCTTCCGTTACGAGATATCCTTTCGTACAACGGTAAGGTTTTCCTCGGCAACCCCTAGGCCAATATGACTACGAGACGAGCAAACGCTATTGATATACCTATCCGAAAAGTATCGCGATATCCAGTCCTAGAACTGCCCTATCCCTAAGCTGCTCCCAGACTACTAGGAATGGCGAATGGTTCGATTGAGGCTAACGCTGGAGCGAGTACTCCCCTGAGCACCTGACCCCTTCCTTATCGGTATCCCTAATCGAATCCTACAGGGCAAAGGTATCTTTTGTTTCAATTCGAACAACGGCCTTCCTCGGAACGAGCGAAACCTACGCATTAGCGAACGTACGAACCTACGCATAATAACCTTATCCAATCCCTACTCCTTGCTTTTTGTTTGAATGAAAAATCAATTCAGAGGAGAAGGAGAGAAACCGATACCCCTACAGCGTAAAGAAAGGAATGAAACAAAATGAAATGGGAAGACAAGGTGAGGGTGCCAACTTAAAGTAGTGGAATTGCCAAGCCTATCCTACTTGTGTGTGATCAACTGAAAGCCTTTCCTATTTTTCTAATTTCCTTATTTACTTTATTTAAATTTCATAGAAGAGCTGGTACAAGCCTACTTCTTTCTTTCCTTCGGCTTTAGTAAATCAATAAAAATAGGAGGATTCGGATTCCTTCTGCTTGCTTTTTGCCTTGGCTTGGAAAGAGTGATACACTACTACTTTGGGTTCTACACTACGGCATGTTACGCGACCTCATTAGTTCATGAAATATTGTATTATGGTACGCCAATACTTGCTTAAAATACCTACTTCGGTTCCCTGCTAACGGCTACGACTACGGCTATGGTTCTTAATCGAATCCAATAACGGAACGGCGGCCCATCGATATCCTTTCCCTCAATACCGGTATCATACCAAGGAAGCAGGCATTGGCAAAGAGTTCATCTTTATCCTGCCCTCGGCATCCTATGCACGTACGAATTATCTAGTTGTATCCTAGCGATAAGTAGCACTAGCGTTAGTAGAACAAGCAACGGCGCCTCTGTTTCCTATTCCTAGCGAACTAAATCAATTAAATAGACCAGGGCTAGGAAAATCAATCAATTATCTAGTTGTAGACGTCAACAATTAGGATCGGAACAGCAGCGTGATCAAGGCAGGTTGCTTCCTATCCTATCCTAGGTTTCCTATTGGAGGTTCGGTTCATCCAAAGCAAAGGGGGTTATCAACCTAATCCTCTACCCAGTTCCCAAGGCTCCTTCCAAGAACGCCTACCTAGCGCGCGCTCCTTCCTATTATGCCTAGGTACGGCCCTTTCCCTAGCGCTAGTTTCACCCTTTTAGTCGATATGACGAGCTTTAGACCTATCGCTATCCCTTATCCCGAGGGAGCTGCCCCGAAGCCATGGCCTATAGGTGCTTGGTGCCCAAGGTGCCAATTAATAGCTCGGTTTCGGCAAAGAAGAAGATAATATAAAGTCTAAGGGCACTTATAAAAGGAAGGATAAAAAACCAACCTATATGAATTCTGCTGGATACTGGTAGCAATACCAGTTTTCTTGATTCGTTGATTCAGATACCTTGTTTAAAAAAAACATACCCATGGTAATTACAGTAGAGCAAATGGACAGAAGATGTACAGTGAGGCGCGTAGCGGTACAGACAGGGTCAAATGCGAAATTGGGGATCCTAGACCTTTTTAACCTCGTGCGAGAGAAATCCGACAAAGACACAAAAGAGGTACAGTAAGTGGAATAGGAAGATTCAACGACTAGTGGTAGAAAGCAACCATAGTACTACTAGTGGTAGAAAGCTTACTTACTACTATTTATCTTCACTTGTGTTGTTAATAAAGCATGGGCATAATATAATATAACTATTTATTTTTTAAGCAAGGGCCCTGTTCAACAACTAGACATAATGTAATAACCTACTCTTTCTTCAAAGAATGTAGCATACCTAAGAAATGATTTATCTAACGTCCGTTGTGAAATAAAGAAATTCGCAGATCGCTTCTTCTACCCTTCTCTTATTCGCATTTCCTGCTTACTATTGAAAGAAAAGCTCATGGAATGCAAGGAGTGCAAATAGTGAGTTGACTGCTATAGTATGTAGTGCTTAATGGCTGGGATGTAAGGACAAGAGAGTATGGTCGAAATAGTGCTTGTTACTCACTCGCTATTTTGGTGCTGGTTTGACTAATTAGCTTTCGTAGTGCCCTCTTTTCGTAGATTGGAAGGAGCCCTCGCTAGATATGTTGGTGTAGGGAATTCCTGTTCTCTTTCATAGATAGGAGGGGCATGCGTGCTTACAGCCTGTTCTCACATATAGATAGTGGGACATGCGTGCTTAGTTAGAGATAGTCGAAGGTGTAATCTTTCAAAAAGTAGTAAGTAAAAGAATCGCTACTCGCTCTAGATGGATATTTAGGTACCCTCGCCCTATTATTTATTTTTACTAGTGTATGGAAAGAGAATCGTGTGCCCCATACATAGGAAAGATAGAATCATCCTACTGCATTCCTTCTCCGGTCCTTTCATGGCCCATGCTGTTCAAAGGCTAATACAGAAATAGGATTACTTACGAGCTGGGATGGGAAGTAGAGTATAGCCTTGAGTTTCTTAGTAGGAATACAACCTTAATGGAATTCGGAATGGGACTTTAGCATTTCCCTCCAGCAGCACTTTGTTTGGGGATGGTTGATTGCTTTTTGATTCTCTAAAGAAAAATCCACCATCACGCTTCTCTTTCTTATTCTTATTTATATAACTGTCACTTTACCGGGCCGGAAAAGTGACACCGTCACGTCTCAGGGTCGTATGCCTGGAACAAGAAGGGTCGTCGTACAATTTCCATTTCGGCGATTACAAAAAAGAAGGAGGCGAGCTCCCTATCCCTCTTTGTCTTTCCACTTCCCTCGTTCAGGAACAAACACTTCGTAAAATTCTTTTGAGTCCCGGCCCGGTTTTTCCCCACTAACCAATTACGTTACGACCACTGAACAAACTTGGTTGACGAACATGGTTTATGCGCCGCTAATCTAGCGGCTTGTCGAGCATTTGACAAACTCACACCATCCATTTCAAATGGGATTTGTCCCGTGGACACACGAGCAATCCAACCCGTAGGATTTCCTTTTCCTCTTCCCATTCGAACTTCTGCGGGTTTCCCCGTAATAGGAAGATCTGCGAGAACTCTTACCCATATCTTACAATTTCTTCGGAATTGTCCGCTCATAGCACGATGGAATTGTCCGATTGTAGCCCGACGCGCTGCTTCAATGGCTCGATATGAAAGACGACCAGCTCTACTACTTTTGGTGCCATATCTTCCAAAACCAAGTTGTGTACCATCCGGTTCGCGACCCCTACTACATCTGCATTTACTATATTTACTATATTTCGTACGTTTCGGATATAGCACGTCCCTTCTTATTTTGACTATATGAGATCCGCACTTTGACACCTGAAATTCCGTTACGAGTAGATACTTCCGCAGGAGCATAATCGATTTTCTGGTTAAATACATTACAAGATGTTTTTCCATACTTTCCGCATTCAGTTCTAGCTATTTCCGCACCCCCTAATCGACCAGAACAACAAATACGTATCCCCTCCACCCCTTTTGGCATTATTAATGGAATATCCTGAACTATTTTACTAAAAATGGAACGAAATGAGATTGGATTGTTCCTCAGTTGAAAAGAGATGTCTTGAGCAATCAGAGAAGCACTTTGATAAACTGATTTGATCTTTACCGACTCAATTAAGGTATTAGTGTTTGTTCTATTAGACAAAAAAGATCGCATTTTTTGCACTTCGTTCAAATAAGAGTTGTACCCGTACGGAATTATCCTCTTTCTCAGTATGATCTCTATCATCATCTCTATTCCCTTTATCAATTTGCCTATCCTACCTAGGTCTATGAATTTCTCTATCAATTCCATTACCTTATCCTTACCCATGAGGTTCCTACATTTGATCCTTAATTGACCTAGGAGTTGTTCCCGGGCATACTCAAAAAATGGGTTATTATACACCCCAACCCCATCCCTTGAAAAAAAAAAGGTAGCACCGAAGAAAGGAAAGAGCGAGATGGTGGTTTTTGTTGTTCCCGCGAAGCGAAGATCATTCGCTTGGCGAATGAAGTGGATCAACCTCTTTTTGGCTCGGGCCAAACACTTTTTCTCGCTGGTCGAGCTTTCTACAAAAAAAGCGATGCGAGAGCGTATTCTCTTATCTAAGCTTCCTCCCTTCGCTCCCCCCATCGTAGATGGTTCAGCCACACCCGGTGCCACGAAATGATTGAGAACTACGACGGGGTCGAAATGCATTTTGTTCTTTGTATTAAAAAAGTATTGCATGACCGAATAATTCAAGGAGGGGCGCACAGCGGGGAGGGTCCTTTTTAGTAGATGACTCGTCGGGCCGTCAGAGCGGGACTTCTTTGGTAAAAAAAAGAACTTGAATAACTTTGTTTTTATGAAGGAGTCGTCATTTTCTATCAGGAAGGCTATGTCATTTACAACCCCGGCGTATTTCGGATGCTTGAAGGCCCCGCTCACCCGAAGTGATTTATAAAAATTCTTCTTTCTCGATGGTGATCGGTCATGGTATCCATAACGTTGCATCTTTTTCGGCCAAATCCTGATTTCGTTTTGCTTCTCCCGGTCGATCGACTCGACTCTTTTCCCTGCCCCCCGGCCTCTCACTTCGTTTCGTTCTTCCTCTGTACCCTCGCTTGAATGAAGACACCCGATCGGCCCGACTTTCCCAAATGCCCACCACCGGCCCTTATCCTTTCCGGGTCTTGATTTGTCGCGTCGTTTTAGTCGTAGTGGTCGACGGGGAAGAAAGAAATGAATGAATGTCCTTTTGGGAAAATGTAGAATAATACACCTACCGAGACGAAAGCCAAAGGTGAGTCTCGTAGGTGGACGTATCGAACTGAAATAAGATCTAAGATTGACATCTTGATACAATGATTTACCATAATAATAAATAGAGTCAATGGTGACAGAGCCGTGGGAAAAGCCGCTTCTTTTTTGCGGCGGGGGCTTCCATTCACCAGCGCAGACTACATACACGTGCTCTCTGAACCGTGCTAGATAGTCACCCATCACACGGCTCTCAAACCCAACCTGTGGTGGATCCCGGGGGACAAAGCAAAGTAAAAGCGCTTGATCCTTTGCCCCATACTTTGAGATCTTCCTCCCCGCCGATCAAGCAGCAACGCTGCTCGTGATAGGCTTAGCTTAAGCCGCTAACGTTCGGTTCGGATAAGTAATAAAGTCCCTTCGGTCGGTTCGCTCAGGTGGTCTTCCCTTATTTTCCCTAACGTTCAGAGTTGTTCTGGTTTGAGAAAGGAGCACCGCCAAGTCCACTAGGGGCGCCCTGAATGAATAAGAAATGGACAGCTGAGGTCAGACTTGCATGAAAAATAGAAGATAATAAGTTAGATGTCGATTACACACCTGAGGTTGGTAAGAACTGAGGGACAATGCCCCCCTCACAGGGCCCATCAGCGAAGCAACTGCTACTTAATCGGGCGGTTTGCTTTCGTGCAAGGCCCCCGCTGCTGGAACAGGCGGTTGTCATTTTCAAGTAAACGCCCCACCCCAGAAGGACGCCCTCGCTCTATTGGCAAAACGCTTCGAAAGAAGAACGTATCGCCAAGGCCCCGACCGGCCGGCCCGCCCCCTTTCTTTGCCCGCCGGCCGCCTAGCTCGTTATTCTTTGAGATCTGGATAGAGTCTCGCTTCGGGGCGGGGGAAGCATGGATTCGATAGATCTATCGAATCCATGCTGCAAGCAGCAAGCGTAGGCTAAAAAGGCAATAGTCTAACGTTGGGGTAGGGCGCGCCAAAACAACCGGGGGCCCCGGAGGGGTCAGTACAAAAGTACTATATTCTTTCCACTTACTTTCATTGGCTAGCTGCCTTTTGTAGCGCGCGTACTCTGATCCTCTTCTACGAATCTACAACTCTCTTTACTGAGCGAGACTTCATCTATATCCCTAAAAGTGGATTTTGATTCCCATTTTTTCTTTGAATGACAGCTTCAACTAGGCTCCACCTTAGAGAGGGTTTTCGGTTTTTTTTAATCAAGATAGGGTCAGGGGCGCGTCGGAACGGTAGCTGCAAGGTCTCATCCGAGAGTCCAATCTCTTTGTACTGTGCTTTTATGTCTTTGAATAAAAAAGAAAGAAAGAAGGGGGTCGATTTAGGCTCCTTCCCTTCCACTGCATAGCTGCGCTATCAGGTACTACGAGCCCTCTGCCCCACGCATCTAACCAGCTCGCGTGGTTCACCGGTTCCACCGAAAACTCTCATTTGTTGAAGCGGAGCATAGTGCGGCGCCGAGCGAAAAAGGTCTCTTTTTTCGGTTTATTCACTGATCTGAAATGAAACTTAGCACTTGTTTTTTTATTGATTCCTGGGGCTAGGCGTTCGCAGAATCAGTCTATCCGAACCGCAGACGCACTTTTCAGATCAGTGACGGCCTCTCCAGCGGAGCTGGGCGCCGGGGCCCTGGATGCGCTAGCGATCGGCACATTAGGGGAGTAGAGTACTTGCCCGGGTTTCTCGGCCTGGTATCCTTATCCTCGCGTTCATGATATCTACATTCAACTGTGCCCCGGAGACACGGTCGAAGCACGCCCGCCCCGTGTGCGTCTTTCACGACATGCTCTGGTCCCGGGTTTCTTCCTGTGGTCTTCTAGCGTTAGAAGAAGTCGTGTCCGTCCCGGACATCTGCAACGTCCTCTCACGCCTTTGGGGGGACAAACAAAGATCAGGAAAAGACGGACCGAACCCATTCGGTGACTTTCGCGGTCGCCCTCACTGAACCGACTTGGATCTGAACTACGATTCAGATCAAGTCTTACCGAAATTGGATTTCCTTTTCGTGCCATATGTCGCTTAGACTTTACTTTTGCCCCTTTCTGCCCTTTCCTCTATTTGTTCGATAGGGTCCTCGTTCTATTCTAATTCTAAACCCATTGTCGTCCACAGTTTCCTTGTCGACGCGAAGGGGCAAGCAGCCCCCAAACAAAGTCTGAGATCAGAACTCATACCGCGGTTGTGGCTTGAAGGCCGCATGCAAGTTCTTCAATATTTAGAGAGTATGTGTTAGTACGAGATCGCGCTATCAACTTATTTAATCTTTCTCGATGAAGCAAGAGGATGCGCGTTAGCGCAACGGCTTTCGCGCTAGTTGCTCAATCCGTTGCTTGTTTGGTTGATTAGGACAAAATTGTATCCCTTAGGAACCGTACATGCACCTTTGTTTGGATGCCGATTGAATATTGTTACAATACGAAATACTTGAAGGCCACACGCAATTGACTCACCTACATTTTATGCTCCCACCTTTTTGTAGACTCAGCTTCTGCCTCTGGGGAAGCACTCACATTATGATCGAATTACAATGTGCAGGTTTTGTGACCACCACTGATGCTTGCTGTGGGCTGGGCAAGTATGGAGGCCTATTCTATTCATGTGTGTTCTTCCACGGATGGCGTGCTGCGACGCATCGAGCCATGTCTGGTGGGATGAATTCCACCCGACAGATGCTGTGAACCGAATCCTGGCAGATAATGTGTGGTCCGGTGAGCACACCAAGATGTGCTATCCAGTGGACTTGCAGGAGATGGTAAAACTGAAGCAGTAGAGCCAACCTGAATCTCCATTGCAGTTACTTGGTCAACTTCTGTGTTTTTTTTGACAAAGAACCCATACGAGGCGGCACAGCGAAATGTATATGTGGAGAATTACAAAGTTCTCATACCGATAGACTTGTGGGATTTAGATAGGTCAGGTTACCAGCAAGTACGACATTGTCATGTTTGTTCATACGTAAATGCAACGCAAAGGATCTGTATGGCCAAAGTGGAACAGATGCATAGATACAGAGCATGTTAGGTGACAAAAAGGATTGTTGAATTGTGTACCCGATATGTTTCGTTCCTAAATAGATTCTGACAAAACTTTGTTCTGTTGTGGTTCCTGCTATTCTGACAAAATTGTTTTGGCAAAATCTGAAATGTTTTCCAAGTTTCACAACTGGACTTCGGTGGCTACATGTTGTTATAAGCTGGTACCACCGATCATCCTTGTTGATGCAAACACTACTTTTACCATATCCTACAGCATTAGTTAATAATCAATCACTTTACATACCAGTTTACAGCCTCAATGACCAAAGGAAAAACAAAGTGAGGAAGGTTCTCCATCATTGTGTACAATCATCCTCTCAAGTGACCACCTGCTTACAACAACCTTATAGTTTGTTTAGATACCGATTTTCACACTGTCCTTCAATGCCGGGGCTCTTCGTTACCAAATACAATACACCTAAGTTCAACCCCAATCCCAGATCTGTATCTGCACCTTGAGGAGGTTGCTGCATGTCTGAGACTTGAGACCTCAGATACTTGTGCTGATGTCTAGCAACCTGAGCTAGCACTGTCCCCATAGTTTGGCCATGCCCATTTATGAGCAATATTAAGAAAGAGCATGGAGTGCATCCAAGGGTGCTACAAGGCTACAACTCTTCATCGCCAACACCAGAGTTCAAAACAAAGCTGGGGAATGCCATGGTTATGTCCCTGAATAGGAAATTAATGTATGAGCACATCACAGTGTGGGATAAACTATTGTGCAAGTAAGAACAATGCCGGGATCGAATAATGCCACAAGCCTATTCTTTCCCATATCACCATATCCTGCACAGATCACTCCCGATTAATCGTCACTATCTCACATCAGAGGAAGTAAACACAAGAAGTTCCTCTACAGTTCAAACTGACTGTTTCTATCCATTCCCGACTCTTCTTGCCTTAACGGATCAATTTCTTCAGTCTTACTTTAATTTGATTGAGCCCAACTCTGTTTTCACTGCCTTCGGTCTAATGACTCCTAATAGTGGAACTACGGAAGACGACTTGTTTTCAGCACTGCTCTTTTCAAGCTATGATGAAGTAAACACCAGAATAGGTAGGAAGAAAAGTGCACTATAAGTCTTGTCAAACAACTGATTATCCGCTGTAACCGAAGCATTTGTGCCTCCCCATCAGAAGCAATCAGTGAAAGCACTCCAATATTAGCAAGTTGAATGGCTAAATATGTATCAATTCACTAACCATTTGCGCTGGTGTCAGATGTGACACATACAGCCCAGTAGTCTGTCCTCGACAGGTTATATTGATCACCAGCATAATGACCAACAGAAAACAGATAGTGGGGTACTAAGAGAGGTTATGTCGGAGCTGAAACCAAAGGAAGTCGGAATTGGGAGAATAGGAGATGTACAAGGTGAGAGAATAGCTGGACGGAGAGGTGATAAACCAGGGGAGCTTAAATCACAGATAGGTAGTGTATTCCTACAAGGAACAGGTGCTTGTGGTATCCTGTGGAAAACAAAATGTCCTGAGCGAAGGGACTACCAGAAAAGTATTAGGAGATGCTGAGTACTTGTTTGGATACCGAAATTGACTCCCGAAAGGCTATTTCCTTGCAAATCGAAAGCCAACAGCTAGTACCAAGCTCTCCTTGCAGTGAGATGAGGAAAGACCCAAACATCAACAACATCTGAAGACGTAGATGCATCTGTACGCGTTTTATAGAAATCATCAACCGGAAGACGATTCTTAGCATCGGAGTCAACTTACGCCAGGGATTAGTATGGAGATTCGCGCACTGGATGGTTGCTCCACTGAACCTTGACGTAAGATATACTGGTACTCCTTTCGAAGAAAAAGCATACCACAGGCTCATTCATCGAAAATCATAGAGACTATTAAATAAAGGATAGAGCAATTCCTTTTTTCAAATAGGAAAGTGGAGGAAAACGTTGGTTTCTTGTAGCAAACTTTTATGTGCTTGTACCTGTCAATGTATTGGTAACCCCAATTAGTGTCATGAGGGAAAACTACACTTAACAAACTAAGTTGGAATAGATTACTCAGAAATAACCGTAGAATAAAAAGAAAGGAGGTTGCTACAATTGTGGCAAACCTGGGACACCCATGCCGTTCATTTACCAACGAACTCTCTTTTGCATATTTCATTCTCACATTGCGAAATCCCTCCCGATCTTTCGATCAGTGGAATCGAGTGGA